TTGGGTTTCCAGGTCGGTGGATCGGGTAGGACACATTAAAGACTTTATTTCCCTATTTTCTCCCTGAGTTGTACATTTTCCTTATTTCCTTTTCCCTTGTAAATAAACCTTTTATTAACCTTTTGTGTATGCCTGTAGTGGAATATTGATAAGTCCCTTTTAAGCGCACGGGTGGGGACCCACAGCCAGGCAACCTGTTCAATATTGGGGCTGCCCTATAACACTTTCTTCTTTGGGCAGTTTGCCAGAGTCGCCCATTTATCTTCGTGTCCCAGTTCCCACAGGAACCTACCTGCTGCTTTTCCTCCCTATTAAATTTATTTTTTTATGGGAGGTCTTACTTGCAGCGATTCCTCACTGCCATGTTCAATTTTGTACTTTTCAAGTATACTGAAGTGGCTTATTTAATTTAATTTGTTTTTCAGTGGAGTCTTTAGAGTTTGCAATGTATATTACTTTGGTGTCCACAACAATTTTCATTGTGCTTACATTTTTAAATTCATAGAACCTTGAGACATTTAATGTTTATTACTTAAATATTTTAATAATATACAAAGCTGGCAATGAATAGTCTCATAAATGTGTATAATGCTCTTGAGACACAGGGCAAGCTAGGGTTATTAGGCAGTTTCAGGGACAGTGCAGGAGGGACCCCTGAAGAATTTAGGGAGGCTTCAGAGATATAACTAATTCCATTAAGAAAAACAAATACCCCAGAACCACGGACAATATTAATGCTGTTAACGATGGTCCTGGTTTTCTTCAGGTGATAAAGGGAGGTGGAGACTAGCTAAATGGAGAGTGGTTTAATTTATGGACAACTTAGGAGGGCAACTGTTTAACTTCAATGTAGAGATGCTCACCAGGAGGACTAGGCCATAAAGATAAAGTGTAGAGATGCTCACCCAGAGGACTAGGCCATAAAGATAGAGTGACAAGCATGACAAATGGGGAAAGGGATAGCTGTTAGATAAGGAATGTGAAATCTCTCACTTAGTAAGTGTGAGACCCTCTGGGAATTAGCCAATCAGGGAGAGAAAAAGTAAAACTTAAACATAATGAGGGAGAAAAAGTATATATTGCCAACATAATATCCCGTACCGGCTCATCTTGGCCCCTCCCAGGTACCTTATACCTGGGAGTCTTTCTCCTTTGTCTCTTTTCTTCCTAAATAAACTTTTCTTTCAAAGACAAGATTTGTCTCTCTCTGCTTACTTACTTCAAAAAGTCTGTGAATTCCTTTCTACGGTTTCACGAGACAAGAACTCGTGGTAAAACGGCAGCAGTTGTTACACACGCCGGCATCACTCTGATTCAGGTTGTTAATACATATATTAAATTCTCATTATATCCCACCAGCAAACTATAACAGTATCAAGAATTGAGGGCCTCCCAGGTGGCGCAGCGGTTGAGCGCTGGGTTGCAAAGCTGCCTGTGGCCTCTGCGGCACCGGTTTGATCCCCGGCTGCTCCCTGGCCACCAGAGGAGGGTCCTGCATGGCGCGCAGACCTCTCCTGCCGCCCGCTGCTCCCCTCAGCAGTGTACTTTGGTCCTTCTGCCTGTTCTGCTCCCCACTCTGGCTCTGGTGAGTATCCTCACCCTCCCATGCTTCTGACTATCCCCAGTGCATGTATAAACAAAACAAACAAACAAATAAATAAATAATAAATAAAACATGCCTCTATATATAAAAAAAAAATTGATATTAAGAAATTAATTTATCAGCAGAAAAATTAAAAATACTAATCACTTAAAAGAACAGTATCAGGTTGTCATCCCAGATTTCAAATATCCAGATGTTGCCATTTTCTAACCTTTCCTGGCAGCCTCCATATTTACTTTGTGCCTACATGAATCTCACCTAAGCAAGGACAGCCTGAATAGCCTCCTTGCAAGGCGAACTGTTTGATAACAATTTAAATGTCTGATATCCAGTTGGAACTCCACTTTTATCGTGAAATATTTTGGTGTGAAATTTTCAAATATCAGCCATCGCAGATGGGAAAGCAAAGGTGGATGCAGTCAGCAGAGAGGAGCTGAGGCCAGACAGCAAGTGACAATCATGGGGGCATTTCACTTCCCAAATTGAAATATCCTTCAATTCCTTACATGTCTTTACAAGTATACTAAATGATAGTGTCATTTCATTGTATGTAAATCTGATGAGTTTTTTCATTTCAACGTGCTTGTGAAAAATGCAGACATTCTAGGTACGATTCCTCTTGATGACCTGCCCGGCCAGGGCAATGTCCTGCCATCCCACCCACTCTAGGGGATTCAATAAATGGGATAACACTCCTGTAAAGTGTGGTGTGAGGTCATGGTTGGCATTCTTAACCCATTTCTGGAAATACTAGATACGAGGCAGGCTACTAGCTATCATTTTGTTTTTACCATCATAACTTGTTAAGTTCTCTTATTGTATCTCAAAAATTCCTATCCAGTGCATTTTGGAATTTTTTTGTAATTATACTACACATGAACCTAACTTTTTTATTTCCGGTGTCCACTGTTGGTGAGTGTGATTTTGGCAAATGTGGGTGGCGCCCACACCAGAACTTCCAGGTTGTCTCTACCACATCACGTGCATGTCCTTATCGAGCAAGGTCTTGACTACTCAGATTCTCACTTCAGATCCTCAGGCCTTATTTATGCTGTGAAAGCCCCACCTACTAAGTAAAGGGATCTCTGTCCTGCCCGTGGCCCCCGATCCCACCCGTGACCAAGAAAACATTAAAGGGGAAGCTGCCTTAGAGACTGGAGATGCTGCCCCCGTGAAAGAACTTCTGCTCATGACTGCGATGAAACTCAACCCTCACTTCTCTTGGCCGGGAACACAGAACTGGAGAAAAGCAAAGAGTGTCTGGAAGTTCAGTGACCTCCATTGTACAGAGAATATAAAAAAGCACCTAAGTGTAACAAAGAGGAACAATCAATGTCAATAGAGTCTACAAGCAGCAGACTATATGAAGTCATCGTAAATATAATTTAAAAATGAGCATATATTTTTAAATTGTGCAATGGAATTATATGTAGTTAGACAAATATGAAAGGAGTATAATTCAATAATTTAAAATAAATGTCTTGTAATAGAGTCATGAAGTCATCTTCCCTATTACATTTAGGTGTGTCTCCCTGTCATCAGTGGGGACACAACCTACTACATGGCTTGGTTCCTCAGACTGTATATGATGGGATTAAAGGTGGGGGGCACCACCGTGTAGAACATAGAAATGACCAGGTCAGACATGGACGGAGTCTCTGAGGTCGGCTTCAGATAAGCAAAGAATCCAGTGAAGAGAAACAGCACCACAACTAGCAAGTGGGGAAGGCAGGTGGAGTAGACTTTGGCCTTACCTTCTGTGGATGGGATCTTCCTGACAGCAGAGAAGATGTGGACATAGGAAATAATGATGAAAGTAAAACAGCAGGAATCCATCACTGCACCAATGAGAATGGGGACAAGTTTGTTCATTAACTTTCCTGAGCAGGAAATAGACAAAAGTTGTGGGATTTCACAGAAAAACTGGTGGACCTCGTTGGACCCGCAGTAGGACAAAAAGTTTCCAGCTGTGTGCATCACAGCCAATATACCCCCACCTAGCCAGGACACAGCTGTCAGCTGCACACACCTGCCCCTGCTCATGATGATGTCATAGGGTAGGGGGTGGCAGATGACTGCATAGAGTCAAGGCTCATCACTGTGAGGAGGCTCATCTCTGCACCTGCTGAAAGAATTAGCATAAAGACCTGTAGGACACAGCCTGAAGAGGAGATGGAGCTGCTGTTCCTCAGAGAGTTGGCAATGGACTTGGGGACCGTGGTTGAGATGAGGCAGAGGTCTGTGAAGGACAGAGTCCTCAGGAAGAAGTACATGGGGGTGTGGAGGTGCCGGTCCAGGGTGGTGATGAGGACGATGAGCCCGTTCCTCAGCAGGGCACACAGGTAGACCTGGGAGAAGAACAGTGGGTGCAAGAAGCCCATTGGCCCCTGGGTGGGGAATCCCTGGAGGACGAATTTTGTCACGATGGTGGGATTCATTCCCCCTGGAGCCATCACTGCAAGAAAGTCTAGAGGAATAAAACGCCAGGACCATCCACCAGTGCCTGACCCATGGTGTCTCTCTGCAGATGACCAGTGTTGTCCTTCCCCACTGACCTCTCTCGTGCTCTGTCCAGCGTCCCCCCTCAGGGATCTCAGCTCCTGCTCTGCTCAACCTCTCCAGTTTGTGACCCGCAGGTACCGCCACTGTCCACGCCGCCTGAAGTGCAGAGAGTTCAACTGACCTCAGCAACCTGAGCAGTCTCCTCCCGTCTCACCACGTCCTGCACATGGGCACCCCTGAAACCCTGACCTCGGCCCCTCCTCTGCCAACCCCGGGCCCCAGTCCATGCACCTTTCAAGTGTGGGACCCCCAAGAACCCTCAGGAACACGAACTGTAAAGGATGCCCCAAATCTAGCCTGTGGGGTCTCAGCCCCCAGACCCTGCAAAACACTGGCCAGTCACAACTACTGGCACACATTTTCGACCAATTAGACACTGATGACCCCGAGTCTGTTCCTGGTCGGCGCCCACCTCATCACTGCAGTGGGTAGGGTGTCCCCGCCCCGTGTCACCGTCTGATGACTGTCTGGCCCTCACCCCTTCTCGTAGGCCCTGAGAGGGTGACCTCCCATCCTGTCCTCCCGGTCTGCCCCTCCCCTCACCCGAGGAGCTGAGGTGGTTTCTCCTACAGCTACTTCCCGCAGGGCTCAGGTGCGGCCATGGTCAGGCGGGAGGGACTGTCCACCCTATGGCGACAGCCACACGCTCGGGGCTCCCAAGCCAGGGACTCTCGCCTGGTCCCTGCCGACGCCCTGACAGACAGACCCGCCATGGGTCTGCGACTTCCCCCTCCTGCGCCCTGGCCTGACATGTCTCACCCGCTGCTCAGGGGCCCCCCAGGCCACTGTCCTGTCCCCGTGGGCTTCTTGGCAGCCCCGGTAATGAACCCCCGAGTCAGGCGCCTGTCAGGGGCCCAGGAGGCTCCATGGGCAGGACCTGGTCCTCCCCCAGCCCCATCACCCCCTGACCCCACAGGGACGGGGTGGCCCCGGAGTCAGAGCTAGGACGAGCCCCATCCACAGTGAGCGGGAAAGTTGCCGCCACCCCTGGGTACCCCCTGGGCCTGGCAGGGGGGACGGGGTGTGAAAGGGGTGGGAGGGCAACCAAGAAAACCCCCAGGAGCAAGACTGGGAAGCACCTGGGTCTTCTGACACGGGTTTGCTCGCGTCTCTCAGAATTATTTTATCTAAAAAGGCCGTTTATCTCAGCGCCTGGAAATGTAGCAACATGTGAACTGTCGTGTCTGACGGAGGGGAGGCGGGTGCTGACCTTACAATGGGGGTCAGGCCCGTGGCGGTGCTTTCCAGCATGTCCTCAGGGTGGGTGTGTCTCGAGCTCTGACACAACAGAGTAGGGGGCCGTCTCCTGGGTGTGGGTCTCCCCGACTCCTCACAGGCCCCCCAGGTCAGGGTCACAGACAACAAATGAGCTTGTGGGTCGGCACGCTGGGGATCCCTCCCCTGCACCCGCAGGAGGGAAGGCAGAGGCCGGAGCGAGTGTGAGGGACCCGCCCTGACGAGCAGTACCAGAAGCTGCAGCCTCAAGAAACTGATGGTGATTCTGGAATTTCTTGCAGACAGTGAGGGAGGACTTCGCCCCCACTGGTCCTGGCAATGAAGCAGATGCCCCCGCCCCTCTATTCCGGCCGGCACACGGCCCCTCCAGGGATGCATGTCCACTGGCCCCAGTCCAGTTCTGGCCCTGGTGTTCTGCACCTCAGGGACACAGGTGACTCCCCGTCACATGGGTCCGAGGGCTGTGGCTGGTAACAACACCCAGGGGTTCACATGCATGGGCAGAAGACAGGGAGGGGTCAGCATGGGGGAACCCAGGAATCAAGATCAAATCCCCATGTCTCGGGGAGGTAGCCCACGCGGGCAGAGCCCTCAGCAATAGTCCGCAGACCAGGCTGGACAGCACCAGATGCCAGGCCGGACATGGCTGGACCTTCGAGAGTTCTCAAGGAGGCCAGAGACAGGCGCCAGCCACCGGGGAGCAGGCAGGTGAGCACCCAGCCCTGCAGGCGGTGTCAGCGACACCAGTGTTGCAGCTCTTGGGGTGTTAGCGCCTGCCACTGCAAATAGCTGGCAGAGGCCGGGCTGAGGCCCACAGTGCTCTTTGCAGGAGATGCTAGAGGCAGGGCCTGAGGCAAGTGTAGCAGCCAGGTCTCTGCGGAGGTCTCCGGGGGTCTTCAAGTCTATGGAGGTCCTGAAGCCGTGACGACTCTGGAGGGTGTGCAGCCATCAGCTCATGCTTCTCTTCTGAGGCTAATTTATCCATCTGAGCTGGCACCTGCGCGGCTTATATCCTCTTATTGTCCCGCCTTCAAGCCTGATGGATCGTTTCCAGTGCTCACTATTTGTTGTTGTCGGCGAAGCTCCCATCGGATGCTCCATGTTCAGTGCTCAGGGGTTCCAGCCAGCATGCAGCTGGTGAGAGCTCAGCCCTGTCAGTTCTGGAGGGCCCTGCCCATGGGGTTCATTGACTATCCTAGCGCCTTGTCCCCAAGTGAAACCACAGCTCCTGGCCAGACCCAAACTGCCCTGAGCTCGGGGCAGGCTCTTGGGCCGTTTGTTCAAGGGAGGCGTGGCCAGAGTCAGCTCCGGTGGGCCTGAAGCTGTGTGCCCTGAGCACTTCAGGGTATCTGGGCTGGGATGAAGGTGCCTCACTCCCGATCTGAAACATGGGTCCAGCCGCTGTGTCTGGGCTCAGAGCCACCATGATCACAGGGAGTGCCCTGGGCCTGCTCTCCTGTGGCTCATGCCAGGCAGGGTACAGCTGCACGTCGGCCCCAGGGCTAGTCCAAAGACAAGGTGCCGTCCCCGGGCTGCACCTGTGGCAGGGCCCCTGGAGCAATGAGACTGGGCAGAAGGACACTGAGGACTCAAGGAGGCTGAGGAGACCATAGTTACTCAAGGCCAGCTCTGAGGTCAGTTGGTGGTGTGACCTCGGGGGACACCCTCCTGCCGCAGATGGTACAGAGCTTTGCCCTTCATCTTCTGCCAGATTTGCTTCCTCCTGCTTCTGCCCATGGTGCTGACCCTGAGGTGCAAGTCACTGTCCTCCTGCACATGTCCAGGAATCCGCCTGCCCCCAGCCCAGGTGCCGTCGCTTTCTCTTCCTCCACCCCTCAGTGTGGAACGGGCAGTGTCCCCCTCATTGGGCACTCCCGGTGGGCACAGGTGCATCATTCTCCCTGCCTCCTCCTGCAGAGGCCAGTTGTTTTGAGTTCATTTCCTGTGGACACCGCCCGCCACCCCCTCTCTTGCGTCCTTGACCAAGCGACTGGCCCTGTGATTGGGAACTGTAGGCACCGCACTGGCCATCAGGGGACGGCGACCTCTGTGGCACCCTCTTCAATCCCAGCTGAGGTTTCATCTGAGGATGGTCACTGTGGTGTCACCCTCCTGCCAGACAGCTGTCCGGGCCCTGGCGCATCTGTCTTCACTTTTCCCACGCACCGCACTGGCTCTGAGTCATGGACATCAGCTGACACCACTGGGAACAAACACATCGATTCCTGTCGCGGTGCTGGAACAAGTCCCTCCACCCTGGCCGAGCGCGCCTCGGGTTCCAGGTGCCGAAGACCTCCCCCTGGTCTCTGCCAAGCCGCCGTCTCAGGACCCCGGGGCCAGGCCCGAGCCAGCAGCCGTCCAGAGAGAGCGGCCAGGCCCAGCGCGCATGGGAGGAAGAAAATGTCAACGTTGTCTGTTTGAGTGTGAGCAAGTTTCTCCTTGATGGACGCGAGTGTGTGGGGAGATGCAGTTTAGGGTTCCACATGTTCTGCGTTTGAAATCATCTCCTTTATGCTTTTAAATACACCCCACGGTCTCTTTTCATCCATGATTAAGCAAAACTACTTCCATTTTGTCTCATTTGTTGTTTGTGTAACAGAGGAAAGATTTGCCAGCTGCTCTGAGGAAACAGGGGCAGGGACGAGGCCCACCTGGGTCTGTGCAGGCTGCGCTGCGGGGCTGCCGGTGGGGACCCTCGCTTCCCTGACACATCATGGGTGCCGCGGGGCTTGGTGTGTGGTGGGGCCCAGGGTCAGAGCAAATGGCAATAGGAAATGTTGGACTGAGTGCAAAAATTTGCTCTTTACCAGACAGAACAGGGGACGAGAGTAGGAGTGTGGACGGATGTGCTGGGAACTGCAGGGCATTTAATAGATTCTGAGCGGACACTTGTGCGTGTGGGGGAGTGAAAAGTGACCCAAGGTGAAAACAATAAAAAAGTCTAATTGAGTCTTCACCTTGATAAGAACAGAAAACAAATTAACATGATGTTGCAATGAAATACTCATGGTAAACATCCCTTCTCAATAGACACTCACTGCATTTATTAAAGGAAAAATAGGAAATATATCCATAGGAATCTGACCACAGAATGACATCATATCCAAAGGGCATGGGGACTGTGACCTCATGCTATCACTGAAATGAATATTACTTTGAGTGATTTTCTAACTCAGGTTCATTCTGAAATTTGAATGGACGAGTCATGTCTTGTGATTTAACTACATTTTATTATCACAAATAGTTTCACGGACAAAATGTGCTCATCGGTCAGAAGATTTTGGAGAAACAGTGACCTGCTCCTGGAGAGGAGGAACATCACCCCCAGCTCACGTTCTCAGTGTTAGGATAACAAGAGTGATATCTTCCAACATGCAGTGCAGATGTGAAGAATTATTAAAAAATTGCAAATATGCCATGCTTTAGTTTGTATAATAAAATAATAATATCATTCCCAAGTAGAATAAAAGTGAACTTTAGTTTATCTACAAGAAGGTGGAGACGAATACCTTGTATAGAATCAAGATAGAATCTGGAAAACTAAGGAACCTAAAAATGAACACAGCAAATTAAAAATTATAATTTTTTAAGTAGAAATGTAGCTCTTCAAAGATACTTTTGAAAACACCACATCAAGAGGGTACAGTCACATTGGCATCAAAACAGGCATCATAGAAATTATTATTCCTTCAATTCCAGTTTTCAGTCATAGATTCCTACTAACCAAGGAAGCGTCCATCCTTCCATCTCTGGCAAAGTCAAGTGTGGTTCCCCTTTGTCCTTTGAGCAGGAACAGGAACTTCTCCTAGAGGAAGATGCCCTGTGAGGAATTGTGAGGGATGGGTGTCCACTCAAACTCTCCCCTGCCATCAATGAGGACAAAGTCCTCAGTGGATACACACACAGGCTGTGGGAACCGAGCCCCAGGACTGGGGTCCCGTGGCCATGTGGTCCTGAGGACAGACCCCTTTACCACTGCTTCATGTTATGTAAATGTTGGTGAATGTGAGTTCTAGAACATTCTTTCTACACCAAATACAAGTTTTAAACCACGACCTGGATTCAGTTTATGAACATCACACAGGGAGGGCTTGGGGAAAGGATTGCAGCAATTTAGGAAAAAGGACTATATTGAAGATTATGAGAAAATGATTTTGTGAAAAGGGAATAATCCTAATTCCAGAAATCTATGATAATAAATGACAACATGAAAGAGTTAGGGGGTAAGCTGAATTAATGAGGGGATATATATTTAGATTGTGGTATCTTACATCTTGGGGTATTGGCCTTTCATCAGTCTCCCCACAGCCATCTTCAAGGCTTGGTTCCTCAGACTGTATATGACGGGATTAAAGGTGGGGGGCACCACCGTGTAGAACATAGAAATGACCAGGTCAGACATGGATGGAGTATCTGAGGTTGGCTTCAGATAATAAAAGAGCCCAGTGGAGACAAACAGCACCACAACCAGCAGGTGGGGAGGGCAGGTGGAGTAGACTTTGGCCTTACCTTCTGTGGATGGGATCTTCCTGACAGCAGATAAAATGTGGACATAGGAAATGATGATGGAAATGAAACAGCAGATACTCCAGACCACACTAATGAGAATGGGGACAAGTTTGCTTATCAGATTTCCTGAGCAGGAAATAGCCAATAACTGGGGGATGTCACAGAAGAACTGGAGGACCACGTTGGACCCACAGTAGGACAAGGAGAAGGTTCCAGCTGTGAGCATCAAAGAGATGACACATCCACCCAGCCAGGACACAGCTGTCAGCTGCACACACCTGTCCCTGCTCATGATGTCATCATAGTGCAGCGGGTGGCAGATGGCAGCATAGCAGTCAAGGCTCATCACTGTGAGCAGGGTCATCTCTACACCTGCTGACATAACCACCATGAAGACCTGGACGACACAGCCCAGGAAGTAGATGGAGCTGCTGTGCCTCAGAAAGTTGGCAATGGACAGGGGACCAAGGCTGAGATGAGGCAGAGGTCGGTGAAGGACAGACTCCTCAGGAAGAAGTACATGGGGGTGTGCAGGTTCTGGTCCAGGGTGGTGATGAGGATGATGAGCCCATTCCTCAGTAGAGCGCACAGGAAGACCAGGAAGAAGAGCAGCGGTGCAAGAAGCCCATGGTCCCCTGGGTGGGAAACCTCAGGAGGACGAAATCTGTCAGGGTCGTGAGATTGGTCACCACCCCTGGGACCATCATCTGTGTAAAAAAATAAAGAGGAAGAAAACATTGTCATATCTTCCAATATTGAACACAAAATGGGTTATCAACATATACAAGCATGCAATCTATTTATGTTTTATCATTATCTGACCAAATTCATATTTTATCTCATGTGAATGCACTATTGATATATTGTCCAAATATGTGTCCATAAATTCATGAAGAAATGAATTTTTAAATGACCATGATAAAACCTGAATATCAGGTCTCTCAGTGAACTGAATTGACAGACCACCAGTGCCCAGTTATTCCCAGGTCGCGGCTCCCCTTCCTGCCCAGGCCCCAGCGTCTCAGCCCGGCACACCTCCCAGAGGTTGTCCAGGGTACAGTCCCAGAGGACACGTCACGATGCCCAGCCCCTCCCCACCCTAGAGAGCCCATCCCTGCTCCTCCAGCACAGCCCTGGTCTGGGAAGGCCCACAGTGACAGGTGTGCAGGGAGATGGGGTGTGCTGGTCCCTGTTTTCCTGCTCTCAAGGACCCAACACTGTCCTGGAACTGAATGATCTGGGCTCAGCATCCCCGTGTGGTGTGTCCTGAGACCTCCTCTGTCAGATTCCTGCCCCTGTGGCCTCATTGCTGACTCCTGGTTTGTCCCCTCATCCCCTCAGCTCCCTGCACCTGACTCCCCCACATCTGAGGACCCAGAGACCACGTTTCCCGCAGAGTCTCCTTCTGGGTCACACCCACATGTCTTTCCTGCAGGATGGGCTCGTCCACCCCCGGGTGCCTGCCCGGCTTCTCTGTCCCCCTCAGACTCATGCACATCTATGCAGGGAGGAGGCTGCTCTGGGGCTGAGCCAGACGGTCTGTGCTTGTGGCTGTCCCTGCCGGTCCCATGGATCCAGGTCCCCCGTGTGCAGGTTAGTTCCTCACACCAGGCCAGTGCGTGATGGGGACTTCTGGGCACGGGGCAGCCCTGCCCTCTCACCTCCTCCCCAACCTCATCCTTTTCTCTCTCTGTGGGACGACGGAGGGACAGGCCCTGGTGAGGGCAGTTTTTTTAGGAGAATATAGTAATGTAAAATAATTGGAACACTTTGGTGGGAATAATTCCAGAAATTTAATAAAAATAAGTAAATAAGTCAGGGTACATGGTGGTAAAAAATATTGACATCTGTCGGGTGACCTTAAATACATCTTTAAAATGGATAAAATAACTTGACATATCTCCTCCAGGCCCTGATTAAATACTGTGACTCATTTTCCAATTACACTGACAATACCTGAGTGTGGAGTTGGGGAAAAATCCCAAGTTCACATCCATAATAGACAGATGTCTGTGCCACCATCATGTTAGTGCCAGAGCCATTAAGACGTCTACATGTCACTGACAAGTCATTGAATTTCTACCTGACTCATATCTGTCATCATGTTTAGGAGAAAAGGCATAACAATCTGAATTGAACAATAAGTGTAATTTTTAATTCCCTCTGGAATGTCTTCATTACCATCTAATTCTATTAATTGCTGTGATTTTATTCAGTGCCCAGAACACACTGAGTGTGCTGATGCTACATCCCAAGTGTGCAGCAGAAATTGTCACATCTCCCATAATTCACAATCTTCTGATATGCTCAATGTATTAAAAGTCAGTATCTTTGACCATCGTAAATTACAAGAGAATATGTTTTTTCTCACTGAGTCTCACACAGGCTGACACAGCAATGGGACATGGCGTCTTGGGCCCAGTCAGCATTAGCTGTCATGATTTACAAAGTGAATAGTTTAACTATGGCCCTTTCTCAAGTCTAAAATGAAGGTTGACATCTAAAATTTTCCAAGTATGAATGGATTCTCCCCTGCAAATGACTGAGGGCAGATACTTGCAGTCTGGGGGGGAAAGTTCCTGCTGCCATGTCAAGTCTCTCTCCTGAGATTGTCCCCATGGCAGGACAGAGGGTGTCCTGGCCTCTCACTCCAATGTTGGGGCTTGTGGGGATGCCTCTGAGCACTCACAGGATGTTCCACCCCGTCCTGATCTGCCTCATGGACAGAGAAGGGCCCTCAGGGCTGGGCTATTTGAGCTCTGGAGCTGGTGTCTGTGTGTTGGACACTGTCCAAGATCCATCCATCAAGTGATTTTATTCCATAGGGACAAGCGCCCTTTTCCAGGTCACTGTCTTAATTGGCATTGTCCTGCGGCACATCCCAGTGATCATTAGTGCCCTGAGTTTGTCAGTGGCGATTTCCTTAGTTTTTACATCTGTGAGGACAGGACCTGTCCCCCCTCAGCCCCATCACCTCCCCTGACTGCTGGTGGGACCAAGGTGGCCCTGTCGTCAGAGCCAGGATGAGCCCATCCACAGGGAGCAGGGAAAGTCACTGCCAACCCCATGCACCCTCCTGGGCCTGGCAGGTGGGGGGAAGCACTGGTGGGGCATGCGGGACAGAGTGGGGTACAGGGCAAGCAGGACAATGAGCAGACACCTGGACCGAGAAGAGAGACAGGACACAAACTGGACCCCGAAGCAGGAGTTGTTGGCACCACAGCTACTCCTCCTGTCCTGACGCTCCTGCCGGCCCCTCTAGTGCCTGAGAGTCTGACTTGCTGCTGATTTCACGTGGACGTCACCTTCACATGGACAATCCTGCCCGGGTGTGCTGGGTGCACCCAGCCAGTCTGGAGACCCCTGGGGGTCCGACAGCAAGGACGGCAGGTTGCCAGGTGGGTCTGGCTCCGCCTCGGGTGCCCAAGTGCATGCCAGCAGCCAAGGGGACTGTGGGCAGCCTTGCGGAGGCAGGACAGGGTTCAGGGGCGCTGAGGCATGCAGGGTACAAGGAGCCTCCCTCCCCTCCCCGCTCCCCACCCCCCATAGAGTGTCTCCGGTTCACAGTTTTTTGTTGATTTTGATTTTCACTTTCTTATAGTTATTCATTTTCCTGGTCTCTTATTTAGGTTTTCTAGATTCCTGCTATGAGTGAGACCATCCGGTATTTTTCTTTTTCTTTCTGGCTTATTTTGCTGAGCATGATCCCTTCCAGCGCCATCCATGTTGCTGCAACTTGTATGTGTTTATCTTTTTTGAATGCTGAGTAATATTCCATGGTGTGTAAGTACCACATCTTCTTGATCCAGTCATCTATTTTTGGGCATTTGGGTTGTTTTCAAAGCTTAGCTATTGTAAATAGTGTTGTTATAAAGATAGGGGTGCAGGTGCTCTTTGGAATTGATGTTTGGGTAAATACCTAGGAGTGGAATTGCTGGATCATATGGAAGCTCTATGTTTAGTAGGTCCAGAAATCTCCACACAGCTCTCCATAGTAGTTGGAGCAGTTTGCACTCCCACCAACAGGGCAGAAGAGTTCCTTTTTCTCCACATCCTCACCAACATTAGTTGTTCCTAGTTATTTTAATATGTGCCATTCTCACTGGTGTAAGATGGTATCTCATGGTAGTTTTGATTTGCATTTCCCTGATTACAAGTGATGTTGAACATTTTTTCATATGCCTGTTGGCCATTTGCATTTCCCCTTCAGAGAAGTTTCTTTTTAGCTCTTCTGCCCATTTTTTGACTGGATTATTTTCTTTGTTGTTGTTGAGTCTCATCAGCTCTTTGCAGATTTTTGTGATCAGTCCTTTATCATTAGTGTTGTGTGCAAAAATGTTCTCCCAGTCGGTGGGGTTTCTCTTTGTTTTGGTTATTGTCTCTTTTGCTGTGCAGAAGCTCTTTAATTTGATGTAGTCCCAACTGTTGATCTTTGCCTTCACTATCACTGCTTTGGGTGATGTGTCTGTAAAGATGTCTTTGATATGAATATCACAAAGTGTTTCACCTATATTTCCTTCGTGTATTTTATGGTTTCAGGTCTTACATCCATTTTGAGTTGATTTTTGTGTATGGTGTGAGGTAGTGGTCAAGCTTCATTCTTTTGCATGTAGCAACCCAGTTTTCCCAGCACCATTTATTGAACAAACTTTCTTTGCTCCAATGCATAGTCTTTGCTCCTTTGTCAAAGATTAGTTGACCATAAATCTGTGGGTTTATTTCTGGATTTTCTATTCGATTCCATTGGTCTGTATGTCTTTTCTTGTTCCAATACCATGCAGTTTTGATGACTATGGCTTTGTAGTATAGTTTGAAGTCTGGGAGTGTGATGCCTCCATTTCCTTCTTTTTTTTTTCAGGAGAGCTTTGGCTATTCGGGGTTTTTGGTGATTCCATATGAATTTCATCAATAATTGCTCTATTTCTTTGAAGAATGACATTGAAATTTTGATTGGAATAGCATTGAATCGGTATATTGCTTTTGGTAGGATGGCCATTTTAATAATGTTTATTCTTCCAATCCATGAGCAGGGGATGTCTTTCCATTTCTTTGTGTCTTCTTCTATTTCTTTTAACAGTGTTTTATAGTTTTCTTTGTATAGGTCCTTTATCTCTTTTGTTAGATTTATTCCCAAGTGTTTGATATTTTTTGTTTTGATAATAAAAGGGATTTTTTTTTATTTCTTCTTCTTCAGATTTATTGTTTGTGTATAGGAAGGCTACTGACTTTTGCGTGTTGATTTTGTATCTGCCACTTTACTGAAATTATTGATGAGTTGAATTAGTTTTTCTGTGGCATTTTTGGGCTTCTCTATGTATATTATCATATCATCTGCAAATAGTGATAGTTTGACTTCTTCTTTTCCTATTTAGATTCCTTGTCTGTCTTTCTCTTGTCTTATTGCTCTGGCTAGATCTTCCAGTATTATATTGAAAAGCAGTGGTTAGAGTGGACATCTTTGTCTTGTTCCAGATCTTAATGGAATTGCTTTCAGCTTTTCACCATTGAGAATGATACTAGCTGTTGGCTTGTCATATATGGCCTTTATGATGTTGAGGTATGTTCCTTGTATCCCAAGAATTTCAAGAGCTTCTATCATGAATGGGTGTTGCACTTTGTCAAAAGCTTTCTCAGCATCTATTGATATTATCATATGGTTTTTATATTTATTTTTGTTGATGTGTTGGATAACATTGATTGATTTTCG